GGGGGAGTACTCTTTTGTTTTGCATGCGTTAGCGGTTAGACCATTGACCACGCGTCCTCAAGAGGACGGGCCACTGTTCCCACAGCACCGGTCACCGATGGCCAATCAATCCTTCCTACTGTGACCGGTCCCCCCGGTGGTCTAGTGGTATCCTCGTAATCCGCTAGTCGTAGAGGTCGTGAGTTCGAATCCCCATGGGGTGAAGAATTTACGAAATTTGCGGGTGAAAGCGAAAAATAGCTAACAAGCTCTCGTGAGTACCAAACTTCGACGTTAGCACGGTTGACGAGGGAAAGGGACCGCTGGACCCTTCTCGCGATAAAGAAATAATTCAGCACGCACCGCAGGAGGAAGGTGGGGCATGAAAAGAAATAAAAAGAAGAAAAACGCCCTGGTGTTTACCCCCTCCTGTGTGACCCTGGATGGTTGTAGTTGTACGAAAAAATACACTCATAAGTGTGGTACTCTACATACGCTGAAAAGTGTAGTATACGTCTCACCACGAAAAATGGGGGGACTGTCGCCATAATAAATAGGACGAAAACACACACACACACACACTGTGCCAAACGTGCTCGAAAACGCTTCCGTAGTCTCTCCTACCGATACCACTTCCCACCTTTCAACCCACTTCCTATGCCCCAGTGCAGCTACCGTCTGTCTTTTCCTGGCTGCCCATGCCTCAAACACCTCCCTACACCCTCCTACTTTTCCCAGCTTCATGTACAAATCCCTCTCCTTGTTGTACAACCGGCATTCCGCAACTACGTAAACACGGCCTTCGCACTCGGAGCCGCAATCACATTCAAAGTTGTCGTCTCCATCGTCGACAATCCAAAATCGTCGCCTACGTTCTCGAAGGCCAATGTCCCCGGTCCTGAAGTTGACCTTCGGCGTTTTCCTCGCACCCGTTGGTCCTTGCAAGTACTCCTTGAACCCTATTCCTTGTTTCAGCATTCCGTACACTTCTAGACACTCCTCATGCTTGGCTTCGTTAGATTATGTTCTTTTGGCAAAGCAGCAGATGTCGTCTCCTTGAATCCCTCCAGACCTTCCGTTTCCAGCGTATCACCTTCGTCAATTTCGAAACCCTTCCATACGATATCCACAACCTTGACCCACTCCGTGGTTTGCAAATTTTGACATGCGTGCATCCACGAGATATGTGCACTGATCCACAACGGCAAGCCCCTCGACCCCCCACCCTTCCGTCTGTACTCTAGCGGTTTCTCCCTGTCCTCGTTGCATACAAATTCATCATTGTTTCTCCTACACAATTCAACTTGCTAGCGGTGTCGTATCACGGACATGCAATTCGTCCGATGGTGTCCGACACCACCTACACCAAAACACTAAATCCCACCATGCGTTTCTCCTCCAAGTGTTCGTGTATCGCTGCTTCTAGCTTGCTCAAGGCGGCCGCCGACCGCTCGTGGTTATCACCAAAGGCGTCTGCATATGTAGCCACGACCAGGACAACGCTTCCGGGTACCCGGCAAAGCAATGAGTCCAGCCACACGTAGACTGTGTCCCCCGTCGAGGAAGGGTCACACACGAACTTGTGGAGGTCGACGACGAGCACGTGCAATGACCCTGAGGTTAAAAATAGCTGGAAACAAGGGAGAGGGGGTTTTTGAGCGATGGTGATGCAAGGTGTGTGGTGCCAATGTGACCATTCGCAAGTAGCTGTAGACAGGGAAAATGGTTTCGCATCTCCAATGCTCTCCACAATATGAAGAGAGCCAGACTCAGGGATAGTGATGGGTGGACACATGTCAACCTGACGAGTGGATGTGCGGCATATCCTCCCTACCGAACCTGGTGAGTGGAGTAGTAGTCATCATGGCCCGCAAAGTCCCAGATAACCACCTCAACTGGAGGGTCGAAGTTTGGCGTCCATGGGTTGACGTGTACGTCGACGCCACGAGTTCTGGGTGGCGGGAGTTTTGCGAGTTTTCCGTCCAGCAGGCCCCTTGTCAGAGTGGTCTTGCCGGCGTGCACCGCACCAACGAACACCACCTTTAGACTTGGTACGACAGCGACAGCCCCGGACTGTGCCAACCCCTCGTAGAAGCTGATGACCTGGTACCAGCCGCCTTGGATCACTTGCCACGGAGGTTTGTTCCACCGGTTGAGTTCTAGCTTGATATCCCTAAGCCAAGGTTTTGCGTTAAACGTTTCCGCCGTCGCTTTGGGTATATCTGCACAATCGATCGTCAAAACATGGCGCTGCTTAGCAGCTTGTCGCGGTTCCATGTTCGTGATTTAGGAGTACATTTCCAGCGGCTGGAACAAGTGTAAGGGGGGCGACGCCTATTCGAGGTCACTGGACGAGTACATTAAATATCTTCTCCCTTCGCGCCTCACTGTCGTCGTCACACCTAGACACTGGGACTCAGCCCATATTTCACTGACATCACACCAACAAGCACGTTGAAGGTCGGCACTAGAGTCACAGCACGCCCAATGTAGTCACGAAAATGTTTCAGGCAGCAGCAGCTGGACAAACGCAACGCATTCGGACTGATACGCAGCAAAGACAAGCAGGCCTCCATGCCGCAAGCGTGTTCGAGCGCAGCACCCGGTATGGTTTTATACCGCGAGGATGAAATTGCGCCCTTTCGGGAACCAATCTCTTTGAAGAAACACGAGGCTTGCGTAACCTCGAATAATCACTATTATAATAACAATAAATTCTCGTATTGTTTTTTTGCCCAAGCAAGAGACGGGGTTACGTTTGCTATGTCGTGCGCCCACGATTCTGCAGTTTCTCGTTTTGTTTTCTACCCATAAAAGAATCCACTCGTGGGCTGGATGAACCTAACGCACTGGATAGAATCAAACCACGGTCCCATATGATGTCGACATGAAACCAATAGAAATTGATCGTGTGGACGTGTTGGCACACACCTACTTTTTCTGCGACACCTGGTCGTAAGCATGAAATCACACTATTTAACTACTGTCTTTGAAACATCATCAAGCAAACCCCTGGTCTCGGCCATCATGAACGAAAACAGGTTGAAGTCGCAAAAGAAGCCCAGGAGCGTCGAAATACAAAACACGGTGAAGACGGCATTCGATTCGTGCAGAATAATCCATCAGCCACACTCGATCTTCAGCATACAGCCTGGCTCGGTCGTGTGCATTACAGAACTAGTCTCCAAAACGTTTCATGTATGACTTCGTGTGTGACATAATTGAAGTCCAGAAATGTTTCTTGCACTACCCTGCACTACTGCTGTTTCTCTGCTTTGTCAAAGTTCACAAACAACATATCGTCGTCGTAGCGATACTTTCGTAGCCCCCGGTAAGATACCGGTTTGAAAGAGCAGCGGGAACCACAACGCTACTGTACTAAATGTGCGCTCACGCGTGAGCAAAAATATCGTATACAAGTCGATGGCCTTTGTTGCAGGCATGTTTCAATGCGATAGACGCCCATGGACAACAAAAGAAAGAAGGGAACGTCCCAGCATTCCCTGCAGCAGCGCGTCGCAATAAAAACAGCAAGGACGGTTATCCAAGCGTTGCTCACACTGTTGGGACTTACCACAACACTGTCGCACGGTTAAGTACCCTTGTAAGCACGGTGCACAACACCTGCTCTTTGATGACTTTCGCTCAAAAGGGCAAGGGTGGCGATTGATATGTCTATACATCATGGGTCGTGCCCATTCCTCCTCAACTGCTGACTCACCGGTCAGCTGGTTTTCCTGAACATGTAGTGACCTCAGTGCCCGGGGGGCTGCTAGCTGCGGTGGGAGGGAACCTGTGATGGGAACGTGGCAAACCATTGCCAAGAGACGACGAAAAAATGATGAAGTGAGTTCCGCAGAGGCAACGCAAAAAGCGTGCCACCCGCACGAGGTGGTTCCATCACCATATCCCCCACTGTTGCTTTGGCCAGGACGCATTACATTCTGGAGTCCGTGGATAAAAAGAAGGCTGAACGACTACCCATGGCTGCGACGAGGATGTTGCATGGGTCCCTACGATACTTTGCACGAGCGAATGGAACAAACACTCATGGACGCACAGACCAGATCGAACACCTCTGGCCACCTGGTATAGCCCGCTCGCCACAGGTCTGTGGGAATAAATTCACACCTGTATATGTAACCAATCCAACACTGCTTGGTGCCTTGTAAAAACAAAAACAAAAAATATATATACATGTACAATGTTCCCCTGCGGGAGGCAGGTGATTTGCCTCCTGGGGGCGACGCATGAGGACATGGCCAATCAATACCATCGCGGTCGCATGGTTGGTCGTCATAACGTTCGGTAGTGCCGGCTTACATGCAACCTGCATACTAATAATTTCCCTGGAATCTGCATCATGTGTGCGGGGTAGTTTGTTTTCTCCCGCCGTGACGTTCCCTTGTGCGCGAGTGGTGAGTGGTGTTGGCTAGCGGTTTGCTGCAGGTCGCACTGCTGTAATCCGCTGCGTGTGGTCACTTTCTCTTCTTATGTGATCGATCGTGTTTCCCATGGTCTGCGGGCTTTTTCACGCATACACCACCAACAACGGATCGAAGAGACGCTCAACGTGCCCAAGACCAGTCACTGATAGATGTAGACTGCTACCCAACCTTCTAAACATTTGGCTCCGACCTTGTCACGCCTCCTCGTCCAGGCTCAACTCCCTTCGTTTCCGTTCGAAATCAAGTCAAAGGCGACATACACGCTACTATGATAGGACAAGATAAAAAAACTCGCACACAAACGACCTCCATACTCAACGACGCTGGCCGCTTAACAAACGTACATCGCTGCCGGGTCACACAGAGCACCTGCAAACGAAGTGCGATGATCGGCGCTCACTCATGCGAAGAATGAGGCCCTTTTAACTTCAATATTCGACTGTTTCGATTTTTCGGAATTGAAATGTACAAATTTACCGCTGCCAATTTGTGTGTCGCAGTGTGTTGCCATGAGCATCAAGAGTCTTGATCCCCGCTGTGGGTACACATGCGCCAGTTGCCGTTTGGTGGTTGTGTGCACAACAATCACAGCAGCAGGTGTGTGGGCGCGTGGGCGCGTGGCGCGTGGCGTAGGGTAAAAAAAAGACACGTTTTCAGTTTTCGTGGCGTTCGAGGAGACGTTTATGGTTCGGATTCCCAACCCCTCAAAAAATACCCAGTCCCAGCGACTTAGCCGGCCCTAACGCGCACCACCGTTGTCTCGCGAGCCCCACACGTAACGGGTCATGTACCGACGGGTCCTCTGCGTGCCATGCAGAAGAAAAGTGCGACAAGAAACGCTGTCCCAGCGGAGAAAAATGACGGCGACGAGTAAAAAAGTCGAAATCCTACACATGCATATATATCGCTTCGCTCCAATGGTGGCGAAACCCTCACCATGCCAGCGCCAGTCTGTTACTCCAGGCTTGGTAGAAAAAAATGCCACAAATCTCGAGCAAATCGTATGACAGCGTCGCCAACCATGCAATCCCTAGAGAAGCGCGCCAATCTACTACGCCAGCTCTCTACCACCGAGGCTAAGCGACATTGGAGCTACGCAACCTCTCATTCTGTGGGGGGACCAGGTGACGGATGAGTTTAAGCCCACTGAGAAGAAAGTAACAAGACAAACGTTCCAAATCTCCCGAAAAATGCCTGCAAAAAGAGTACGTCCGTACATTCCTCCGACAACTTCCTCTTCGGGGCTTCTTGAAGAGGAGTACTACTGTCATGCCATGAAGTTGCCTTGCGACAATCGAGGAATTTAAATCGCGTCTGTGCTCAGGCCGGACATACACTGCACAAACACAAGCGCAATCTTTGCAGCGCCCCTTACCGGTCAGCTTGTTCGTGTTGATCCAAACGCGCTCAAGCTTGGTCATATCTCCGAGTTGCTCGGGGATTGTTCCTGGGCAAAATCGGGGCAGCAGCGACACATAGCAACATGACCATCTCCAAATACTGGATGGCAGAGGTCTCACAAACAAAGCGTGCACCCAGCCCACACGATCATGAATGACGGAGATCGACAGCCACGCGGGTAATGTGTGCCTCCCCCCTCACCGCTGAGTTTGTTGTTGCTGAGCCCAAGTTCCTTCAACTCGCCGAGAGCTCCCAGCGCTTCGGGGATGGGCCCTGCACGAGCAGCATACCGGCAAACCCAACACATGATGAACTGGTCTGCTACTAGATAAAGCACCGCCTAGGCGTTGGGGATTTTCGTGTTTGACAAGTCAGGAGAAGCGTGCAAGCTATAGCGAATGACACCAGAAGCCCCCAAAAGATGATCTCGCTCACCGTCAAGAAGGTTCACACCGAAATGAAGCACTTGCAGCTTGCTGAGACCCCCTAGCTCATCCGGGATGGAACCTGCACATGTAAAAGCCGAAACGAGGTTTACACGGTAGTTGCGGGCCTTCGACAGCTGCAGGCTCTTGTGAGGGCTTCTCCCTCACGTCCCAGCGCAAATCGGAATGACGTTTATGGTACATGACGCTCAGATTCTTGGGGCTCGAGCCCAAAGTCATGTGCGGCAAAAAACACACGATACCGGTGCCTGTAAAGCTATGGGTCGCTTGCTTTCACAGGGTCAGCGAGGTTCCTTCCCCACGCGAAATGAAACCACAGAGCTGGTCTTCACTACACTGGTGTCGATCGAGCGAGCTGGCCGCAAATTCTGTATGGAAGTGCCTTCTGTTCTGGTCTCCGACTCTGCATCACTGCTCAACAAGGACACACAGCGGGCTACAGCAGTGCTCAGATGAAATCAGTATCTCACGGTGCCCTGATTTCATAGGGAGGGGGGGGGGGGGGTTTTCC